CTCTGGAGCCTGAAGTCAAGTGTGTCCTTTCTCCGGCCTCCTTGGCTCTCTGGAAAGGAGCTGCCTGGCCCCCAGCACCCCACGAACACCCTCTGGGGGAAGCCAGGCCTTCCCACTGCGGCCAGCTCGGGCCAGTTGCCCCTTAGCCAGGGCAGGGGAGTAAAGGTGCCCCGTGGGCGCTGCCCCAGCTTCCCGGGCGCTCACCCCAGGGTCAGGGCTGGGCAGGCGCCTCATCCAGCCCTTCAGGAGAGTCCAGGCTCCCTCCCCGGGCGGGGTGGGGGGTGGTTTTCTGGGAACTGGGGGGCTGGCGGGGGCAGGCACACCTTCATCCTTGCACTCTCTGCAGAGGTGCCCTCCGGCCGCCCCGCCCTCACGCGCCTGCCACGGCGGGGCGGCTACGGGTTATTTGCGCCCCGGCCACTTGTGAGGTCGCAGTGTGCACGGGATGCAGCCCAGGCCCGCGACACCTACCCTAAACTTTAGGGCTTTTGGGTCGTCTCAAAGTTCAAGCTTCTTAGAGGCAACAAAGACTTTCTAAAGATCTCCACGCCCCCCTCTCCGGGCCCCCCAACTCCACTTCTCTCTCCCTACAAGCTCTCGAGCCCCCTTTCTTTGCACGGCCCGGGGATGAGTTTAAATCATTGTGCTCCTGTTTCTTGATCACTGCCTGCTTTGAGCCTTTGTTCCCTGGGAGCGGGATCGCGGCTGAAAGAGGGGCTGGAGATGAACAGTTTGACCTCTCAGGACAGTTCAGGCGGTGGACAGGAGCGGCCGCGGTCACCGGCTCCCCGACTCTATTCACTCGCTCCCCTCCCCTCCCCCCAAAGCTGCAGCCCCGCTTCATCTGGACGGTCTCGCAGACCACACAAGTGCCTGTTGAATTTATTGAAGTGAAGAGTGTTAGCGGCGTCCAGCGAAGGGTAGCTGGCATCGGTCATGTCTTTGCAAATCTGGGTGCAAATGGAAATGGTTTGCTTTCAGCACAACTGAGCAAAGTGCTGAACAAACAGGGCTCTGCAACTGGGTGGGATTGCTTGTGTGTGTGTGTGTGTTTTTTGGATCACACTAGATTGTTCTAGGAGGGTCCTTTTACTTAAAAGAAAAAAATGTTCTTCGCACTGGGAAAAGATTCCCCAAGTGTTCCACCATCAAGAGACAGGATCTCCTGAAACCTACAATACACACAGCAGGAGTCTGAGAATTCCAAGATGATACAGAGGGTGATTTTGTTTTTGCACAACAACCTTACAGACACCACTGTCCACAGCCAGAGACATTGCTATTTACAAAGTGAAAGCCTGGACACTCCATGTCATCTTCACATTTGCATGGGTTGAATAAGGACACAACTGTAAGTTTCTTAGCAGTGTTGGAATACTTTTCCTGTTTTGAAAAAAATATTTATGCATACAAGAACTGGGGTACAGGCCAGAAGTGTGGGGGTGAGAGGATTCACCAGAGACAGAGTAGGGAGCAGAACAGGCAGACTGAGTGAAATACACTGCTGAGGGGAGCAGTGGGCGAGACAGGAGAGGTCTGCTGTGCCATGTGGGTAGCTCCCTGGCTGGGGAGCAAACCCAGCTGCAGTGGCTGGTGATAGCTTGACAGCGCTGTGTCTTTAACCCCTGCACCACCAACGATGCCCTGCTTTTTCCTTTCGAAGGAAAGAAACGTGGAGAATCAGGCATGTGCAATTTACCCTCACACTCTTTACCATTACTAACGGCCTCCCTAGGATATAGTTAAATACACACTAACATCTTATGGACAGTACAGAAATATTTTGATGTCAGGAAGTCTTGGCATATACCCTTTCAGGGTATCATAAAAACATCTCGTGCCGATATAAAAACTGGGGAGTCAGACACCCAAGGACAGACACAAATCACAAGACGCCAAGTGTGTTTCGCTAACACTGAGCATGGACCTCGCCTGATTTGGGGTGGGGGAGAGGGTGACTTCCACAGGCCTATCAAGTTTTGTTTTCTTTACTCCCCTGCTTAACTGAGTTCTCTGTCTTCCACCAAAGCAGATTTCACAATCCTATCAACCTGGCATTTCCAAGCCAAACCAAAACGTTAAAGACACTCGTCCAGGGAGGGATGTCTCCACCGAGCCTGTCACATCAGCCTACCGAGGTGTCTGTCTGTGCAGCAGCTCCTGCAGGGAGAGGTAGATGTCTGAAGACTGACACTTCCTCAGAACCCACCTTTCTCGTCCTCTGTTGTATTCACGTGAACAAAAATCCTGCATCCACTCAGACATGTTCCTTCAGTCCTCACCAGGCTCCAAGACTCCACCCACTCTTGAAGGTCAATGAAGACTTTTACTCATTTGCCATCAGTATTGCCTATTAACAGCCCTGATGTCCCCCAAGAGCCCAGGCAAGCACCTGGGGGCGTCTGTGACTCCTCAAGCATCTCTTGCTTCATCAAACTTTTGTGCCAAGTTCTGATTTTCTGCAGGTCCACGATACACAGACAGAGACTCTAAAAAGCGCGTGTGGGGGGTGTGTGCGGAGATGCACCAGGTCTCCCCCTTCTGCACCTCTAGGACGTGAACCAAGCTGTTCTGAAAGTAGGAGGGCAGGAGCAACAGGGACATAACACTTGCAACTTAGGCAATGTGCTTAAAAGGGGAGGGGATGCAGCGCAAAAACACCCAAGAGCAAGTGCAAACCGTGGGGTCTCCAATCTTTCCAAGAGGGAACTGTGGAGGGGGGAGAGCTGCCTCCCTTTTCGAGCCCTCACATCTAGCTCATCGCCTGCTGCAGAGAGCATGCGACCAGCGACACATGCCCAAACACCAGCCGCCGCTTTCACCCTTGGCTTCTCGGGAATCCAACTGGTCTCCCAGGCCTGCACCCCCGTGAGACAGGGCCCCGCGGGCACCCTCCGCCCAACTTCTAACACGCCAGCCGCGCTCTGGTTCAGCCTAAGTGGCAGAAGGGCTGGCGCGGCTCTTCTGCAGCCTCCGGGGGTCCAGATCCCCTCCTGCTCCTCGGGCGAGCTCTGCCCTCCGCCCAGGGCGCGCGGCTGGGGGCTCCGGTTTTGCGTCTAAGGAAAGTCAGCCCGGGAGGCCGGGGCTGGGTGTGGGGCGGGGAGGGGCACGAGCAATTGAGAACAAGTGTCCTGTGGCGTCCAGGGAACCTTCAGCTCCTCTTTCCCCACTGAAGAGCCGGCAGAGTCGGGAGGACGGCCGCGTCCCTGCAACGCCCCCCGGAGCAGAGAAGGGGTCACCGGAATGTCAGTGCAGCCCATGCGCTCTCTCGAGCCGCAACTCGGGGGCTCCCCAGCCCGACGCGCCGCCCGGCCGCGCAGGGAGGCTCCCCGCAGCCCCGGCCCGCCGGAGGTGGGGTTGGCGCGCAGGGAGAACAAGCACCCGTCGGTGCCGGGAGCCTCGGTTTTCCACAGGTGCCACGAGGCGCTTTCACGCCCCGCGGCGAGCGCCCCCCAGCCGCGCCCCCCGCGAGCTCCCGCCCCGCAGACGCCCCCGCGGCCGCGCCTCTGCAGCCTGAGCGCCCGCGCCCGTGCGCCCCGCGCCCTCCACGCCGCGCTCCCCCTGCAGCAAAACGCGTGTGGTTTTAAGTCCTTTGCCTCTGACGCGGCTCCCGAGAGCTCCGCCAAGAGCCTCCGCCGAGCGCTCGCCGCTTTCCCCGGGATTCTGACCCCCATTAACTAATTCCTCGCGTCCCACCGCCCGGGAGCCCCGCGCCGGGCCGCGGCGGGTGCAGGGCGTGCGCGCGCGCCGGGCCGGGGGTGGGGGCGGCCTCCGGGGCGCGGGCGGGGGCGGCGGCCGGCGTCTCCCCACCCGCCCCCCGCGCCCCGGCCGCTAATGAGACGCTGAAAGGCAGCGGGCTCCGGCGCGCGTGGCTCGCGGGCCTCCCGGAGTCGGGCGCCCTGATTGGCCAGCTGCGCCGCGCGCCCTCCATTCATTAATAAATTAGCGGCACGCTCCGGCCGGGCGCGCGCCAGGCACAATGGGCAGCCGGGCGCCCACAGCCGCGGCTGGAGCCGCAGCCGCGCCCCGGGTTCTGCAGCCCCGACCTCAGCCCGGAGCTCCAAGAGGAGCTTTAGAACCATGTTATGCTGATTAGCTAAGGGGGGGCTGGAGAGAGGCGGGGGCGCCGGGAGCAGGGCTGGCTGGCGGGGCCGGGCGCGGGGAGCGAGGAGAAAGACGTGAATGATGATAATGCGGAGAAAAGACGACGCCGCGGGAGGGGGTGAGGGGCGTGGGGGGCGGCCCTGGGGGAGGAGGAACCGCGGCCAGGGATGGGGGAGGTGGGGGCCCCGAGGGCAGATCCGATTGTTTTCCCGGTGGTATATAAGGGGTTTTAAGGCGAGTCGTGTGCCAGACACGCAGCCACTGAACCACAAGCAGCTCCGCTTTAACTGGAGTGCCCGGGAGGCGCGTGCCAGGACCGCACCGCCGGGACTGACTGACACACAGACACGCACCGGCGCCACAACACACGAGGCCCGGGCGGGTCGCCGCGGCCACCGGGGTTCTTGGCAAACCCGCGGGCGGGAGCGGTCCCCCGCGGCGCCCCAGCAGCCGGCCGGGCGCTCCGGAGCCGGAGGACGCGCGCGGAGAGCGGCCGTGCGCGCTGCTGAGACCCGGAGCGCGGCGCGCGCCCCGCCGGGGAGCAGCGGAGTAAGTCCAGGCGGCGGCTCCCCGCTTGGAAGCGTGTCTCCCGCGCTCCGCCGCCGACGTCGCCCGGCCTCGCGGCCGCGGGGCCCGGACACCCAGCCGCCCGGACGGCGCGCAGCGCGCGGGGCCGCGGGGCTGGCGGCGGGGTGGCCAAGGGGGGCGCTGCTGCGCTGGCGGAGCCCCGGCGGGACCCCCACCCGCCCGCCCAGAGGGCGAGCCTCCCCGGCGCCCTTCCGAGCCCGTCCTCTCGGGTGCGCTCGGGAGGCGCCCCCGCGACTCCAAGCGCGCGCGTGTGCGCCGGGGTGGGCGCAGCGTCGAGCGCCTTCTCCTGACCTGCTCTCTCCTGCAGGATGTTCGTCAAGCCCGAGACCTTGGAGCTGAAGGAGGACGAGGACGTGCTGGTGCTGCTCGGCTCGGCCTCCCCGGCCTCGGCGGCCCTCACCCCGCTGTCGTCCAGCGCCGACGAGGAGGAAGAGGAGGAGCTGGGCGCGCCGGGCGGGGCCCGGAGGCCGCGAGGGGCCGAGGCGGCGCTGCGGGCGCGGGGAGGCTCGGCGGCGCCGGCCGAGGACTGCCGGCCCGCGCGGCTGCTGGGGCTGGTGCACGAATGCAAGAGGCGCCCCTCGAGGGCGCGCGCCGGGGCGCGCGGCGCCAAGACGGCGGAGTCGGTGCAGCGCATCAAGAAGACGCGCAGGCTCAAGGCCAACAACCGCGAGCGCAACCGCATGCACAACCTCAACGCCGCGCTGGACGCGCTGCGCGAGGTGCTGCCCACCTTCCCCGAGGACGCCAAGCTCACCAAGATCGAGACCCTGCGCTTCGCCCACAATTACATCTGGGCGCTCACCGAGACGCTGCGCCTGGCGGACCACTGCGGGGGCGGCGGCGCGGGCCTGCCCGGGGGGCTGTTCCCCGAGGCGGCGTTGCTGAGCCCGGGGGGCGCCAGCGCAGCCCGAGCAGCAGCGGGGAGAGCCCGTCGCCCGCCTCCACGTGGAGCTGCACCGACAGCCCCGCGCCGCCCTCCTCCGCGTCCTCCAGCTCCACCTCCCCCTACAGCTGCACTTTATCGCCCGCGAGCCCGCGGGGTCAGACCTGGACTACTGGCAGCCCCCGCCGGCCGACCAGCTCCGCTACGCGCCGCACCTACCCTTGGTCAGGGACTGCATCTAAGCCGCCGGCTCGGCCGCGCACCCAGCCCTCGGCGGGGGACCTTTCCTGTCCCCCGCCGAGCGCTTCGTCCACACCCCGCCCCCCGCCCCCACTGTCCGCGCCCTGGAAACCGGCTCACGCCCCAGAGCAGGTGGAGCCGCTTGGAATCCCCGCTTGGTGGGTGCATTCCCGGCTGAGGGGTCCTTCGCGCGGACGGGCTCTGGCACGGTGGGGTGCAGGCGTGGTGGAGGGTATTGTGCAAGAGGATGATGGAGTTGGGGGGGCGCTTTCTAAGATTAAACATGATGCTGGGAAGAGATGACCGTCACGCGTCTGAAGAGCTGGCGGGGCGCACTGAGCTCCCCTGTGCGCCCCCCGGCCCTGGGGATGCCGGGGGACTCGGCGCAGCTCGTGTGAATCTCCCAGGGGGAGAGCAACTGGTTCCTGTGATCTCTTCACCTTTGCTTCTGCATAGAGATGTTAATGTCGAGTAGAAAGAAATGTATTTTAGCATCTGAATGATTTTGCCGGTAATAATATTATCCACAGATTCGCACTGGCGGGCATCTGCTTGCTTCCCACTGCCTTGCGCGGGCTGTGGGAATTTCACCTGTCAAACCAAACTTTCCCTCTCTGATGTGCACTTTGTTCCGTTTCCCAGATTCGTCACAATGCCCATTGTCCCGTCCTTCGCTTTCCTTTTTCTTCTCCATTTTGCCATCTGTCTCTTATGATTTATAAGGAGGAAAAAGTGGTTTTGTTAGCGCGCCAGGTTAGAAGTCATTGTATAATTTGTAGGCTTTGTGATGATTGAATGCAAGCGTGGAAATTTAGGCTGAACTCGCCATCAAAAGGAAAAATGTGGAGGAAAAGGGAAAAATCGCGAGGGAGGGTTGGTTCATGCATTATTTATCTTGACCCTTTGGGGGAAAGGAACTCCCCCATTCTTTCAAGAGATTAAAAATAAATCAACAGACTGAAAACCTCAGCAGACACGGAGCATTATCGGGATCAGCCACACACGTGTTCCCTTCTATTTATTATAAAGAAAAATTTCATGGGAAAAGTATGTATTTTTTTGTATATTCTACAGAGTCTATTCTAGTATGTATTTACTTCTTGAAGAACAAGAAAATTGTTCTTGTGCTTAAACTATAAATAAAAATATCTAATTTTCATAATCTGGGTGTGTTGCTTTTAACTTTTTTCTGCTTGTGTGATTTTTAGAAGCAGAAGGGGTTGTGCTTTTCTGAAATTCACCCTATCTCAAATTTAGAGGAGCAACTGTATTTTTTGTCAATGTTCAAGTGTAGAATTATGCTGACTGACAAGGCCTACAAAATGAAAAGCACCTGAATTGTATTTGAGACACTAAGACTGATGTGACTGTCATCCTCGATACAAATGTTTAGTACAACTTGGTTTTAAAGAAATCAATTTCTGAACAGAAAAGATCAGCAAGGACAGAAAAGGATGGGTGTTAAGTAATTAGGAAGTCATGATCAGCTCTGAAAATCAGGAACCTTGATTTTTAATGACTATTAAGGTTGAAATTTCTTGAAGGAATGTGTAGTGGCTTGGTTTTTGCCCTTAAATTTTTGGGCTTCAGCTGACTTCTGTGAGCAGAAAAGACTGGATGCTGATTTCTGCAGGTTCCCTCCAGCTCGAACATCTGTAATTTGAGTATTTATTAACCCATTACCGGAAGCTCATTTCACATTGTCCATTTTAACAAACCAGTTGGCTGGGAAAGCAAACTCCCAGAGAAAAGAAAAGGTCCAAAGTGAGTAAGAATAAAGTAGTATCTGAAAGAAAGCGCAAGTTTCCAGTCCTGGCTAAAATAATTGCACAGTTGAGACTTCGTCAAAGAAAAAGCAAAAATGGTGTCCCAGAATACATAACTCCGTAACTTCCACCTCAATCTCCAAAGCAGAAATGAATGACCTTTGGCCTTGGGTCAAAGAGGACCACCTGAAGGTCTACCACATCTAGGTGTTCTCTTTTTGGGGGAGAGCATCCAGTATAACAGAAGCTAAAAATCTAGGCTCTTAGTGACCTCCTGCATCCCCATGAATTTCTCATCTGATGCTCCTGGTTTGGGCTAATTCCTCCACGCCTCTGCACACAACAACGATAATTTCTCCAGAGACGTGTCTCTGAAACTCCTCCCCCGTCCAACCATATGGAAAATACTGTGTTAATATCTTAATAACTATTTTATCAAAGGAGGAACCAACCCAAGGTTTTAAGGGCTTTTTTTTGTTTGTTTGTTTGTTTTTTTTGGTGTGTAGAAGAACTGGGGTACAGGCCAGAGGTGCAGGGTGAGAGGATTCACTAGAGACAGAGTGGGGAACAGAACAGGCAGACTGACCGAAGTACACCGCTCAGGGGAGCAGCAGGCGAGACAGGAGAGGTCTGCTGCGCCATGTGGGTCAACTTCCTGGCCGGGGATGGAACTCAGGCCTTAGGGGTGATAGTTCTGAGACTAACCCCTAGGCCACCAGTGCGGCCTAGTTTGGTTTTTCATAACTGAAAATAAGAAAGACCTGTTGGAAAAACGTTCCAATTTAAAGGTGGTGTTCTCCTTAGCCCTCTCAACAAGCTCATATGAGAAGAAAGTGACATTTCTCCTACTCGTGAGTGCAGTGTGAGTTTTACAACATCAGAGGCTTGATAGTGAACAGCTGTTCTTCCAATGCCGACAGTGTTTACTTTTTTTTTTAAAAAAAAAATACTTGCCAAGAAACAATTCCTGGCACAGGTGCCTGCAGGCAGTCACTCAGGTGCAGACACTTCCAAGATGACAAAGAGAGGCAACCCTCAAAGGGTGAGGGGACCCCATAAACAGGTGACCGTAATGGCTTAGCTGGAGAGGCTTAGAAGGGTAGATGGTCTGCAAATCATCGCTTGGCGCAAGGACAACACAGCCAAAGACTTAACACAGACCTAATTGCACGGAAAAACCTCTCGATGGCCCCTCCAGGACTGGAGACCTGTGCAGCACCAGCCCGTTCCCAGGTGTGTCAGCAGGATGCCACACAGCCGGGAGTCACACCTGCCATCTGTGGCCACGCCCAAACGTCCCCTTCTCCATCAAGAGCGACCTTACTTGAGGCTAAATTGGTGGAATCATTCCTAAAGGCATCGAATCACCTTTAGCTGTTAAGAATGTTCTCTCTGCCTCTCTCTGGCCTGGGATTTCTTCCTCCCAATCCACAGCCAGGGGTGCCATGCAGGACCTGCAGAAACGCGGGTCACCAGCTTGCAGTCAGCCCTTGCTGCTGCAGCAGAGAAAGTGTCCGCTGCATTTCTTCATCCCTGTCCCCAACTTGTGACCGCACCAGAGCGAGCGAGGATCCGGGGCTGCTCCTTCAAACCGCTGCTCCTGGTTGCTCTCTGCAGAGCGCCGGCTCCATGTTCTTCCCACTGCAGTCTCTGCACCGCCAGAGCCGCTGGACCTTTCAAGAGCCAAGGCAGAGAGGCGCGAGGGTTGGTCCTGTCCTCCTGGGCGATGTCGCCTCCGCCTCTGCCAGGGCCTGGATGGCTTGTATTTCTTTGCTCTGCAAGGCCCAGGCCTCGTTAAGGCTGACGTCTCCTTCATTAAATAGCCTCATTTGAGGGCCAAGCGGGGAGAGAAAAAAGCAAGAAAAGGGACGCGCCATCCTTTGGGCCCCAGCGCTGATCCAGGGGGGCTTGGAGACGCCTGGGCCTTGGGGAGGGGGCCCTCCCCTCCCCTCCGCCAGGCCTTAAGGAAGCGAGGGTGCGGAGCCCTTTTGCAGAATTTGGCGAGATTTCCAGGGACGCACGACCAGGCCCAGCGCAGGCCTCGTGCACCCGCCCGCGGGGCGCACCCGGGCACCGCACGGCCTCCGGCAGGTTGGGACTTCTGGGCGGCGCCACCTGCACCCGGTTAAAAGCGCCTCCTCCGCGCGCCCGGCCGACCCTCGCCCCCGAGCCGGGCTCCCGGGCCAGCTTTGAATGTATTAATTAAATCAAGCAGCAGCCTCGCTGCGCCCGTGCAGGGCGCTCCCGGGAGCGTGAAAGTCCCGGCCTCCGAATCCGCCAAAGAAAACGTGTGAAAAGAGAATTAGTGAAATTAGGTTAGACCAATAAAACGTGAGGGCTGCAGCACCCCCTGCGCGCTCCCCCGGCCCGAGGCTAGAAGTGCTATCTGGTCTGATCTATTGTTTCCCGCCCTGGCAGGGGGTTCATTGTGTGATAAATAATTCCCCCTCTATTTTATCCTTTTTTTTTTTTCTTTTTTAAAAAAATGGGTATTTGCATAATCACTGCTTTGATGTGGCCAGAAATCGGAGGCTTGGTTTCCCCAAGTCTGCTATTGGCAGCGAAGCAACAAAGCTCGGGGCAGAGCTTTCAGATCGCGGGCAGTGTGGGGGGCAGGTTGTCAGCGATGGCTGCGCTAAGCTGCAGCCTCCTTAAAAAAAAAAGGAAGAAAAGGAATCCTCTTTAATGATTAAACTTAAGGAATGTCCAAAAAGGGGGCGAGGGATGAAAGACCGGGGTTGTCAAGCCCCTCCACCTCTCCACGCCCTTCAGGGTTCACTGTGCCGGCAGTTTGGGGCGCCAAGGCCTGGGGTGGGGCGCGCGCCCAGGGGCGATGTCTCCAGGCTCCGGCCTCTGCGCCCGGAGACCCGACTCTTTCCCCGCTTGGGCTGATCCAGCCGAGACGAGGCTCGCGTGGTGCAGGACCACAGTGAGTGGCCCCTCAGTGCCCGAGTGGAATGTTGGAGAAGGGGGTTCCCCTGGGAACGTCACTCGGCGAGTTTCAGATGGTCCCCAAGCCGAGAGCGGCAAAGGGAATCAGTCATCCGGAACGGGGGCCGGGCACGCCGGCGTGGCGAGGCTATTATTTGCCTGCGAGGTGGCGTGAGCCGGGAGGACCGAGTGGGAACGCGTCCTGATGGCGTGCGCGCCACCATAAATAATGGCTTTTTTTTCCTGACGGTGCCCGAGCAGGGGGGCGGAGCGGGAGAAGGGAGGACGAGGTGCGTGTCCCTGCC